TTCCATGCTTCTTCTACAAGTGTCATGAATCTTGGATGTTCTGCCCAGACATTAAAGAATCTAAAGGGGATCTTGCCATGTGGTATTTGCCTTCTGATATTGATAACCATTGGTGCATGATCTGATATAAATGGGAGCCTATATTCTGCTTCCATGTGACCATATTCCTGCATCCATTCATCATTTCCAAATACTCTATCGATCCTGCTATAAACTCTATCTACTCCCTGTTGTTTATTTGACCAAGTGTAGTAATCTCCCCTCCAAGCTAACTCATGAAGATTCATTGTTTGCACACATTCAGTGAAGTCTTGAATTTCAGCCTTTGTAACTGTTTTCCCATAGATTCTGTCTTGAATTGTTAAGACAGAGTTAAAATCTCCCCATATAAGCCAAGGTTCTGTATTTTGTGATGCATCATCTTTCAATTGTTTCCATAGAAGCTTTCTTTCTTCTATAGTATTAAACCCATACACTACTGTCATGTGGCACTTTATATTATTATGCCTGCTTGTAACTCTGCAGTAGATTGTTTGAGCAGATTTCCCTAGCACTGTAATGTCATAGTACTGTGGATCCCAAAGTAACCAAATTCTCCCATTTATTGCATGTTCATAATTGTATTGAACTTGCCATCCAGGTGTTATTAACTGTGATATCTGAGTTGCTTTCTCCTTCTTTACTCTTGTTTCCACTATCCCCACTAGTTTGATATTGTTCTCCTTTATGTAGGTACCTAACTCCTTCTGTTTGTATCTCTTGTTGGTACCTCTAATATTCCATACCATCCAAGACATGTCAATGTTGGGGTTGCCCACCTATATCAGGTGGTTTTTGAATGCTATCAACAGTTGTACATGGCTAGCTTGTGCCCTTTGTTTCACTGGAGACATTATTGCTTGGCATAGGTCATTTGATTATCATCAGCCTTCATTTTCCCTTTATCCACTTGCCTGCTTGTCTCTATTGCTTCTCCATCTTTGTGAGTTTCCTTGTTTTCAGATGGCTTAGTACACTTAAAACTTCCTTGCTAATTACTTCATCTTGTTTCTGCTCCTCTTCATTTATTGTAACTTGAGCTGGTTCCTTTGTTTCTCCATATTTGTTTAACTGATGGTGGCTTCCTATTCTGATCTGGGGAATTGGCTTGTCATTATCCTTTGAAATTCTGCTACAATTGTGCCCTGCCTTTAGACATTTTTCACAAAACTCAGGTTTCCAATCATACTCAACTGCTTGTTCAAACATCACCCCTCCTTCATCATGATTGGAATACTTGTTGTAGAGGGCTTTGTAACATTCACTTCTTTAAAATTCTAGCATAGGAGATTCGCGTTTGTTTAGGCAGTAGACTCATCTGGCAAACATAGGAATCCTATTGTTGCTTGCTATTTCTGCTCAGTGAGTTTCCACTCCAACAGTTCATGGTAATTTTGGGAATCTTATCCATAATGGAATATCTGTTAAAAATTCAGCAGCAAAATCAAAAATATGGTGACCAATGCTTCATTATCATTGTCTCCATTCATAGTATAAGGCCAGCACACATAATTTCCTTCATGTCTTCCAATGTTTGGAATCTCACAAGATAATAACCCTCATCATGATAGAACAAATCTGGCATGGCAACTATGTTCCACACCTGGTTGATGTATCTCTTCATGGAATTGTAGCCTTTGGCTTTCACCCAATACATAGACAATCAACGCTAGTTTTTCCATTTCAAAGTTTTCCTGCTCAATCTCTGATTTCTCCAGCTTAGCTACCAAATTCCCTTCTACAATTTCAGGAGTAATATAGGTCAATGTCATACCGTTGGCTGCAGATCTATTGCCTGTGAGTACATTAGCCCAGGTAGATTCTTTAGATGTAGCTTGTTTTTGCTCTTTATTCATCAATGGAACAGTATTGCCTGCTGGTGTCTTAGCTGCATGGTCCTGTTCTTTGCTCACTGGAACAGTAATCTCTCGATTTACAGGTGGTGTGATGCTTCCTCGTAGGTCAACATGCATCGGGATTGGACTCTGATTTGCTTGTTTCTGTTGTTGCCTAGCTGATCCTGAAGCTTCTCCATGGCAGATTTGTGTTGAGAGTACAGATCCAAGCTCCTTCGATGCTCCAGGAATGTTAGTCACCTTTGATGTTCCAGAAATGTTCCATGAACTTTGTTGCGCTCCTTTCCAATGTGTTGAGCTTAGGAATTTTGTCATCTACTCGAATTTGTTGCTTTCTAGGTCGCCCTCGTGCTTTCTTTCCAGCCATGGCAGATCCGGCGCACGTTAGCTTAACATGCACCGAGAGGACTTGGAGAAGAAAACTTGTTTATTCCTTCTTTTTCACAGTTCAATCTCAATTTTTTTTTTGAGTCATCCATTTTGCTCCTATCTAAAGTGATGCTAGGTTGCTTCACCTGAATTTCTTGATTCAAGGCGTCGAGTATTTCCACTTTAAATCTCATGACTAGACCTATACATTGTGACCTGTCGTTTTTGGTGACATGATCTTTTCTTATTCACTTGTGTTGGCGGAAGGGTCAACACATGTATTTTGCCCNGGGGGCTTCATTATTTTCTCAATATTACACCCGCCTCAATGGCTCAATCTATGTGATGCACTTTAATTGAGGACGGTAATAAAAAAAGCTCTTAACATATATAATTTAAATAAATTTTGATATATGTGTGGTTATAGATAATATCATTAAGGGTAAATATAAAGTTTAAAGATAATTACCTTTATATATAGAAAGAAATTTTTCTTTTGAGAATTGAGACATACTAAAAAGGAAGGTGTATTATGTATATAAATCGAGACAAAGAATATATATATATATATATATATATATATATATATATATATAGTAGATTTATTTTAGGTGATTTAATTTCAGCTCATCAAGTATATTGTTATGATCATGATTTCATCTTGTTTGATTCTTTATAATCCATATAAATGAAAATTTTCTTTATTTTTGTGCTTCGTTGATGGTTGAAATCTGATACTCCATCAAAGAGAATGAAAGAAAGAGGCACGAATATATCGCAAGTTAAGATGTATTTGTCGGTGGGAATATATTATTATTATTATTATTATTATTATTATTATTATTATTATTATTATTATCTGTCGTGTCTAATTCTTCTGTTTTGGCTTTTGGCTGAATTAATATATTCCTAAGTGTAACTGGAAATAAAATTATAAAACTGTGTGAATATGTCCAAATAAAGATACCCTCTTACGAAATGATTGTTCGATCATTATAAATTTGGACAGCTTTTACATGCTTAGATTATTAATGAATAAAGGCGAACAAACAACATAAGTTTCACTAATTAAACTGAAGGCAAAAAGGGGAAAAGGTAATTGATAAAGAAAGAGATAAACATATTGCAAACTTTCGGTATTTATACTCTTATATATGTTTGTTTTTTTTGGGTGTGAAATAGACTCGAAAATAATAGAATAAGAAAATAACGAGCGAGAAATTTTAGATAATATTCAATTTTTTGGAGTCAGAAATAATTGAGCACTTGAAACGTAAGTCTTTCCAGAAAAAAGAGAAGATATCTTTTTCCTTTTTTATTTTTGTGTGAACGAGGGGGAGCGAGTGTCATAATCTCAAATAAAGACCTTAAAATTTTCTAAAAATTAAATCCTCATATTGTAATATTTTTGTTTTATCATGTAAGTCTAAGAGTATGACACTCCACATACGTGTGAGATTATGAATAAGTGGATGATAAATAAAATTATATTTTAGTAATTTTCTTGTCAAGTCTGGACCGAACAATCTTGAATAAGTCTAGACATGACATTTCACATATGCATGAGATCATGAGTAAGTGGATATCTCTTTTTCTTTAACTGTCATAAAGTTTATAGGAGGATGTGTCAAAAAAGTCATTCGATTCAAATTTATAAAATATAATTTAAATTATATGTATCAATATTGAATTGTTTCCTTGAAGACGAATGAGTAAATATCTGCTTAGTTAATATCGGATCTTAGCTTGCAATATTCTCCCTCCATTTTAATATATGTGTACCTGTTTGACTGAGTTTGAAATTTAAGAAAAAAAAAAGAATTTTTGAATTTGTGGTCCTAAACAAGTCAAAAAAGGTCCAAAGTATTTGTGTGATTATAAGATCTTCTCACTGAGGGTAGAATTGGAAGTTTAAACTAAATTGTTTCCAAATCTAGAAATGGGTCATTCTTTTCTGAACGGATAAAAAAGGAAATAGGTTAAATAAATTGGAACGGAGGGAGTAGTATTTTGTCCTAATTTATGTGAAGGTGTTTAACTCAATATGGAGTTTACTTATGGTCTAATAAATCATAAAATTAGTGTGACTCAAATTAACTTATTAAGGGTAAAAAAAATAAAAAATTAAATTATTTCTAAATATAGAAATATGCCATTCTTTTTGAAAAGAAACGAATATCACATAAATTAGGATGGAGGAAATATATGACATGAAATTAGAGAAAAGCGTTAAAAATTTACTCTTCCTTTTCCATATAATCCATCATTTTGAAGTTTTTGGTTGAGGCTGGTAGTTAGTAGTAGTTATGCAGTTGTGTGCCAGCTGTTAATGAGCTGATATTAGTGTGAGATTAAGTTAACAAGTTAGTTAGTTAGTTAGTTATGTGTATAAATAGGGAGTATTAGTTTTCATTTCTAGATTCTTCTGTAGCTTAGCTTTGACTCAATGAGAATACAGTTTCTCCTCCTTCTCTCACTCGCTCATCTCCTCTTCAATACATCTCCATAGCTGACCTCCATTAACATGGTATCAGAGCTTAGGTGAAGCTGCCTGGTTCAACAATTAGGAGAAGTCTGATGCAAAGAGAAGCTAGTTAAATTTCTCACGAATTGAGCTCAATTCCAGCTCGATTTCACTCGATTTTTGAATCTGTGATCTACAGAGATAATTCCTCTGTAATTCAATCTCAATTGTTATCATTTTTTTGTTCGATGATCTGCTAATTGGTCACTACAATGGCTATCGAGGAAACTTCATCTACTCCAACTGCTCCAACACTAGATCAGAATGTAGATCTAGTTCATCACAATCACCCGCTCTATATCCACCCGTATGATACACAAGGTACAGTCCTCATCTCAATTCATCTTCAAGGTTCTGAGAATTATTCATTGTGGAGTAGATTTTGAAGATTGTATTGCATGGTAAAAACAAGTTAGGTTTTGTGCTAGGAACATGTAGAAAACACATGTTTGATCCTAGCTTATACGAGCTATGGGATAGGTGTAATGCTATTGTATTGGCTTGGATAATGAATAGTGTGGCTCCAAATCTGCTTAGTTCCGTGATATACGCCTCTGATGCTCACAAGGTTTGGGAAGATCTTCGTGAGATATTTGATAAAGTCAATGCATCTAGATCCTTCTACTTACACAAGGAGATTGGGAAACTAACACAAGGTTTATTATCTGTGTCTGAATATTTTTTAAAACTGAGAGAGTTGTGGGATGAATATGAGGCTTTAGTTCCTCCTCCTTCGTGTGGTTGTCCAGAATCTAGGCAAAATACAGAACATTATCAGCTTCGAAAGTTGTATCAATTTCTTACTGGGCTAAATGATACCATTGATAATGCCAAGGATCAGATCCTCATGACTAGACCAGTACCTAATATAAACCAGGCTTATGCAATGATCATTAATGTGGAAAGTCAGAGAAGAACAATGCTACTGTTGGTGTTAGTAATCCTACAGCTCTACTGAGTAATAGAGCCCCTATTGGTGGTTACAATCGTGGCTATAAGCCCAGAAATAACTTTGGAAAGTCATCTCTTCAGTGTGACTTCTGCCATCTTAAAGGTCACACTAGAAACAATTGTTATAAACTTCATGGCTACCCCACTGATTTTAGAGGCAGGAAATGAGGGGGAGGTACTCCTGATTCCAAAGGTGCATATGCACACACTGCCAGCATAGCACCTGATTCATCTACACAACAAGGAAGTGCTGCTAATGTGGTTCCAGCATATAGTTCAACAACTGATAGCTCCTCAGTAACAACATGTGTCTCTTCAGCACCGTTCTTTACTCGGTATCAATACAATCAGATCCTGCAAATGCTGAACAAAGGAAAGCAGGTTGATACTGTGGCTAATTCTGCAATAATGAATACTACAGGTACTATAACAGCTCTCATGTCTCATCTAGTGAGCAATAATTGGATTATAGATACAGGTGCTACCAATCATATGGCTCACAACCTCAATCTGCTGAGCAATATTAGAAAGCTATCAAATAGTGATCAGAACTCAGTTCAACTCCCTAATGGTGAAAAAGGTTATTATCAGTCATACTGGTGATCTATCACTTTTTAAGGATAAATCAATACATCATGTACTTTATATTCTAGATTTCAAGTTCAATCTGATGTCAGTGTCAAAAATCACAAAAGAGCTAAGATGTCTAGTGGCTTTCCTTCCTGGCTTCTGCATATTTCAGGAGCTCTTCACTGGGAAGGTGATGGGGATTGGTAAAGAGGAGCATGGTCTCTACATTCTGAAGCACAAAGAACAAGATGTTCCCAAGCAGCTGCCAGATCCTAGGCCATTTCATTCCAGTCCTTTTGTAAATACTACTGCTAGTGAGTTTCAAACAAATAATGCTAGCACTGAAAATAAGAATGCATCTAAATGTCTAGATGAGACTGTTTTGTGGCATAAGAGATTAGGTCATGCACCATTAAGACTTCTAAAGAAGATAGAAAGTCTACCAAATGTTCAGTTGAAGGAGCACTTCTGTACAGTTTGTCCTGTTGCTAAGCAAACCAGAATTCCTTTCTCTTCCAGTAATGCATGTTCTATTTATGCATTTGATCTCATACATGCTGATATTTGGGGCCATACAGAGTACCCACGCATAATGGTAGGAGGTATTTTATGACTCTAGTGGATGATTACTCAAGGTTTTTCTAGCTTTTCTTAATGAATGACAAGGCAGAATCTATTGTGATTCTGAGAAATTTTCTTTTATTAGTCAAAAATTAGTTTCAATGCAGTATCAAGTGTCTAAGGTCAGACAATGGTACTGAATTATTTAACAACCAGGTAATAGGACTTCTACAAGAACATGACATAGTTCATCAAAGTTCTTATGTATACACTCCTCAACAGAATGGCAAAGTTGAAAGAAGACATAGATCTATGCTTGATATGGCTAGAGCCTTAAGGTTTCAGGCTTGTGTTCCCTTAAAATTTTGGGGGGAGTGTGTTACTACTGCTGTGTACATTCTGAATAGGTTGCCTACTATTGTACTGAAGGGTGTATCTCCTTTTGAAAGGCTGTTTCACAAGTCCCCTTCCTTACAACATCTCAGAGTCTTTGGGAGTCTGTGTTATGCAACTAACCTGAAGAAAACAAATAAGTTCTGCCCTAGAGCTTTTCCTGTTGTTCATCTAGGCTATTCCTCTAGTCAGAAGGGTTATGTTCTGTATGAACTGAGCTCCAAACTTTTCTTTGTTAGCAGGGACACTGTGTTCAGAGAAGATATTTTTCCATTCAAACATCTACACACAACCCCATCTCCTTTATTTCCAGTTCTAGAGTTCAAAGATGCTAAGTGTCCTGCTCTGCCTTCTTCTGATGCCTTCAATCCCTCTGCTTCTCCACCTTCTTCTATGCCTCCCTTGAATGTTCCTCCTAGTCAACTCTTCCGTTCTCCACCTCCTACTGATCATTCTTCCTCACCCTCTCTTCCTTTACCTGCTCATGCTGATTTAAGAAGATCTTCTAGAGTGTCTAAACCTCATATATGGATGGAAGACTACATTGTGATGTCTAAGCCTTCTTCATGTGCTCACCCTATCTCACAGTGTGTGTCCTATAACTCTATCTCACCCACTTGCAGGGCATCACTTGCAGCCTATTCAGCCATTACTGAACCAAGGACTTATGATGAGGCCAAGGCAGATCCCAAGTGGATTGAGGCTATGAAAGCTGAGATTTCAGCCTTAGAAGCTAATCAGACTTGGACTATTGTTGATCTTCCTCTTGGTAAAACTCCTATAGGATGCAAATGGGTCTTTAAAGTGAAGTACACGTCTATTGGTGAAGTGGAGAGGTATAAGGCTCGGCTAGTTGCCAAAGGGTATAGCCAACTTGAAGGTTTGGATTACAAGGAGACATTCTCTCCTGTTGCTAAGATGGTGACTGTTAGATCTGTGGTGGCTTTGGCTGCAGCATCTGGGTGGTATATTTTTCAGATGGATGTACACAATGCTTTCCTTCAAGGTGATCTCCTTGAAGAGGTGTACATGCACATCCCAGATGGCTTTGCCAACCAGAGGGAGTTACAACAACAACAGAAGGTTTACAGGCTTCATAAGTCACTGTATGGGCTTAAACAAGCTCCCAGACAGTGGAACTTGAAGCTGACTAGTGCACTGATTGACATGGGCTTTGTCCAATCGCACTATGACTATTCTTTGTTCACACACAAGGCAGGCTGTATCTTGTAGTAGTGTTGGTGTATGTGGATGATCTACTAGTGACAGGAACTAGCTTAGCACTTATTCAACAAGTGAGGAAAGATCTACAAGCCAGATTTAAAATAAAAGATCTGGGAGAACAGAAGTTTTTCCTTGGTATTGAGTTCTTGAGATCCAAGGAAGGAATCTTGATGAATCAAAGGAAGTATGCACTTGATCTAGTGTCTGAAATGGGATTAGCAGGCAGTAAAACAACTGCCACCCCTCTAGAGTTCAATCACAAGCTTTCCTCTGTAGAACTAGACAGGTTTCTACACACTAATCAAACCTTAGTTGACAAAGAATTAGAAGATAGAAGCAGCTATCAAAGGCTGATTGGTAGACTATTATGCCTAACTATGACTAGGCCTGGTATTGCCTTTGTAGTTCAGGTACTTAGTCAATACATTCATGCTCCTAAGAAGTCTCACATGGATGCAGCTATGAGAGTAGTTAGATACATTAAGGGCACTACAAGTCTTGGGTTGTTTATGCCGGCATATGAAAGCACAAAATTGTCAGCATTCTGTGACTCAGATTGGGGAGCATGTGTAGAAACCAGAAAGTCCGTAACAGGCTACATGGTGAAGTTTAGGCAAGCTTTGGTGTCTTAGAAATCAAAGAAACAAAGTACTGTTTCCAGAAGTTCTGCTGAAGCAGAATTCAGGAGCATGGCATCAACTGTAGCTAAGATCACTTGGTTTATTGGACTGTTTAAAGAGCTTGAAGTGAAGGTGAATTTGCCCGTGCAACTGTTTTGCGACAGCAAAGCTGCAATTAAGATTGCAGCTCACCCCATTTTTCATGAGAGGACAAAACACTTTGACATTGACTGTCATTTTGTGAGAGAAAAAAATTCAAGATAGGCAAATACAAACGCAGCATATTGGAACTAAAGATCGGTTAGCTGACTTGCTTACAAAAGGCTTATGCAGACCACAACATGATCATCTAGTAGGCAAGCTGAGAACAATGTTTTAAAAGGCGGGGGCGTGAGGCGAGGCGTTTTACCTCTGACAAGGCGATGTGTAAGCCTAGAGACATGGGGCATGAGTCCCACGGATCTTTTGAATTTTACTAATTTCAAGAATTTAAGATAGTATAAAATAAAAATAATTATAAAAATTACATTAAAAATCATAAATATAATAAATAATCTATTAAAAATATTTATAATTTATAATTCAACTATGAATAATATGAAAAGTATGAAATATATATCGCAAATTAGCTGCAACGTCGTTACAACTCAAACATCAAAATTAATGTATTTGATACGAAATCTTATATGTATCTCTTAAGGAGTAATGAATCTTGAAAGAATTTCAATATTATAATTTGATATTTTTCTTAAAATACTCCTTTTATTTAATATGCTTTCTATTGGAAAGAGAATTTATATAAAAACACAATTCACAATTTAAATATCTCTAGCATCATTTATTTTTAAGTTCTAACAAGGCAATAAAGTGACACATAATTCACCATACAATACTATCAGAACTAATATTTGTAAATAGTTACTAGCTAATACTGAGCTATTAAATTACTAAGTATTGTATCTCGTAAACGTGAAAAAAATAATATTTAGAAAAATAATTATAAAAAAATGATGGATTATTATATAATAAAGACATAACAAAAGTTAATATAAATACTTTTTAAATGAAAGATTTATTTAAAATTAACTATCATAGCAATCTTAGTGGATAACGTGCAATAATTTTTATTTTAATTATGACATAAAATACTCTCAACTTAATGATTTATGATTAAGAAAAAAGTAATTTTGAATAGTCAACGATTTATTAAGAAAATTTGAGAATTTACAAGGTTAGTTACATATAATTGCATAAAGTTCTATGAGGCGAGCCTAGTACGCTGGGCGTAAGCCCCGATGGCCGAGGCGTAAGTCTCACGGAACTAAGCCCCACACATAAGCCCAGGGGCGTTTTACGAGTGCTCCGCCCTTGGGCGAGCCCCGGGCGAATCCCAATTCTGCCTTTTAAAACAGAGATAGTATAAAGTCAAGCAACCGAATAAACTTTAGTTCAATATAAAAATCAAAATAAATAAGAGTAAGATCAGCATAGTTTGCATATTACAAATAACAAAGAGGATTTTTACTCTTTCCTCAAACCATAGTGATCAAGAGTACTACCCCAACCATAGT